TGAGTTCCCCTAAATTCCCATTTTGTTGAGGCCATCTCCTTCTCTAGTATCCCCAATTATTCTAAAATGATCAAATTTCCACACAGTTAAGATTATGAGTCAGCTTGGCAAGACTACGGTGACCAGTTGTGCAACTCTATTCTATGTATTGCTGTAAAAGTATGCTTAAATGTGATGAAAACTTTAAATGTGATCACTTCAAGTAAAGCAGATCACACTCCCTGAGGTGCATGAGCCTCATACAATCACGTGAATCCTTCAAGAGCAGAAATGGGGTTTCCTGAAGAAAGAGTTCTGCTTTCAGACTGCAACACGTAAATTTTGTCACAGTTTCAGCCTTTGGACGCAGGTCTGCAACATCAATTTTTATCTGGGTCTGCAGTCTGCCAACTTGCCCTGTGGATTTTAATCTTGCAAGTCCTCAACTGAAAAACTATCCTTCCTCTCCTTGCCCTCCTCATGTATATATACATTTCTACATAGAGCAATTATGCAAGAAAAATAAAAGGCATATGAACTGAAAATAAAGGCGAAAAGCATATCTGTATTTCTGCAGATAGCATATTAAAAATTACAAAGAATACATGTGTGCACACACATGAACACACATGCACACAGACACAATTACCTATTATACTTAATCAGCAAAGTTGCAGGTTATAAAGTCAACATGCAAAAATCAATTATATTTCTATATACCAGAAATCAAAGAGAAAAGGAAATTAAGGGGAAAAGTTTGTTTACAATAGCATTCAAAACATAACATACAGGGCCGGGGATTTAGCTCAGGGGTTCCACCGCCTGCCTCACAAGCTCAAGGACCCAAGTTCGATCCCCAGTACCGCAAAAAGAAAAGAAACACAACTCAATTTTTAAAAACTTGTCAAAGTATCTAAATAGACATTTCTCAAAAAAATACATAAATTACCAGCAAGCACATACATGAAAACATACTCAACATCAGTAGTCATTAGGGAAATGCAAATAAAAATCACAATAAAGTACTACATGATACCCACTAGGGCGGGTAGGGATTTTTCTTAAAGGAAAATAAAAAGTATTGAGGAAGATATGGAGAAATCTGAAAATTTTACATTGCTAGGAGGAATTTCAAATGGTTCCGCCATTGTGGAAACTGGCTCGGTAGTTGGGTTTCAGTCCTGCTTTGGTCCCATTCCTTTCCATCCCATTTTTTCCTTTTGGAACGGGAATGTTTACCCTGTGCCATTGCATGTTGGCAGTGTTTAGCTTTCTCAGTTTTACAGGGGCTCAACGACTTGGACTGCTCGGCAATGCTCCAACCACTAAGACTTTGGTGACTCTTAGAGATGAACTAAGTACAGTTTACATAAAGAGATGTACCTGAGCCTCTTGGGGGCCAGGGGCAGAATGGTATGGTTTATATCTAGATGCCCCCCAAAGCCACATGAGCTTAAAGTAAGAAATTTGGAAGATGACTGTATTGTAGTGGCATTAAAGCTGACTGGCTGTTAAAAAGTGGGACCAAGTTGGAATCTCTCTCTCTCTCTCTCTCTCCCCCTCTCTCTGCCCACGTCCTTCCACTAGTCTACATAGGAGCCAGCTGATTATGGACTGAAACCTCTACAAACTAAGCCAAAATAATCCTTTCCTCCTTTAAGTGGTGGGTGCTGGATATTGTGTCCTGGTGATGAGGAAAGTAAGTAAGACACTAACTTTCCTATTGTGCTAATCTGAAGTATTTGGCAACTTAAAAGAGAAGCACTGGGTGTAACGCTTTTAGGACTTAGTTCATGCATGCTCAGCTGGCTCCAAGGCAGCATGGTGGCAGGGCATGGCAGAGGAAAGTGGTTCATCTCATTGGAGCCAGGAGAGGGAAAGAGAGAGAGAGAGGGAGGGACAGGGGAGGGGGAGGGAGAGGAGGGAAAAGGAGGAGAAAGAGGAGGAGAGAAGAGGAACCAAGGAGAGAAATATCTACCCTCCAAAGTCATCTCCCCAGTGATCTGCCCCTTCTGACCAGACCCACACCTCTAAACATGAGGCTTTTTGGGAACATTATAGATCCAAACCATAACATGTATGATTCTACTGACAGGGAAAATACAGAAAAAGAAAATCCACACATACAGAACACAAACCAGTGAATACTGAGTGAAGAGGAATGGAGCTCAACTCCTTGATAGATGTTTTCCTTTTGGAAAGATGAAAACGCATAGCATTCTGAATGCCACCAAATTGTTCGTGTTGAAATACTTAATTTTATTTAATGTGAAATTCATTCCAATTTTTTAAATTATGCACTGAGAAAGTGATCTTTAAAATAATACATGTGTAGATTATCAGCTTCCAGTTCAAATGGGAAATGTCGGAGGTTTTTTGCTTTTAGACTTTGAAATAAGATCATATCACTTAATATTTTTTAGCCCTTCCTGTGTACCAGGAATTTTGTTAGAAGTTTTATATACTTTAGCTTCTTCAAACTCAACATACTTGTGTACTTCATGTTTTAGTAATGACAGACTGCTCACATGATGGTATACAGCATAGCCTAGGGGTACAGTTTATGTAAGTATGTGTTGTTTGCACAATGAAATTGCCTAACAACATATTTCTCAGAATGGATCTCCATTGCTAAGAAGATAATGATTATAATAGCCATCACTGCCTTCAACTTAAGGGACAGAAGTTAGGTATGAACAAGTTAAATTGCTCAAAGTCATATAGACAAGAGGTGAACAGACCTTGGTAGATCATTTAGCTATTAACTATTATTTAGAAAAAGTTTACTGAGTGCTGTTAAATGTTATATTTTATCAATGCAGTAATATTGATAGTATAAAATTTTTTAAACATTTAAAGATTTTTAAACATTTTAATAAGTGAGTGCTCTCATTTGTATTGAAATAAATAGGCTACACGTCATAGTTTTACTTCAGACAACACTAAAATAGAGAAAGTTGATTTAAAGAAAAGATTTTAAATAATAATAGCTGACATTTATTGAACATTTACCATTTGCTAGGCACTGTGCTAAGGGCATTAAATATATTAATGCATTGTGTTAGTTACTTTTCTCTTGTTGCTGAGACAAAATACCCAACACCCAAAGTTAGAGGGGAAGGGGTTTAATTGGCTTATAGTTCATAGAGGTTTCAGTCCATAATCAGCAGGCTCCAAGGCAGGGATGGCAAACAGGCATCACAGAGAAACACCACGGCCGTACAAGGTAGCAAAGGCAACAAGAGAGTTTAACAGCACCTTTCTGCCCCTTTTATCTTATTCAGACTACCGGGATTAGGGCAGTGCCCAACTAACCACTCACGTGTAGTGGTTTAGTAATCACAGGCCCTTAACTCCTGCATCACACATTCCAGACTCAACTACCTCTGAAAAAGAAAGTCCTACTCATCTGCATGAGGGTTTGGGGGGACATCTAAACACAAACCATAACATGCATACACTCATTTATTTTATTAATTTTAATGCAACATTTGCAGGTTAAAATTAGGAGATGCTATTCATATGGACTGAAGTGTGGAAAATATTGGTAAAATTTAAAGAAATACCTTTTAAAGTCAAATTCAAATTTAATTCTAGGCTCTACGACTTAATAAAAGTGACTTAGCCAGGAAATTAAGATGGTTGTTATGACTTGTGTGGCCATTGTTGATAGTAATCACACCCTGAGTGTTACAAGTATGTTTGTTCAGACTTACATGTGGGTTCATAATTTTATATTCCATACCGAGGACAAAGCAAAAGTTCATCCTGGGTTTTAAACTTCAAATGATATTTAGATACTTACTACCTATAGTTCCAAATAAAGTCCATAAATTATAGTAATCTAGCGAATGGCTTTCAAAAAAAAGAATGAAATACATGATGTCATCCTTTCCCTCAGCAAAGACAATAATTTCCAGCTATCAGAGAATGGGAAGGGCTACGTGTTCTGCAGATTAAGCCCAAGATCTGAATGCAGTCTTAGGCTCCGCATGCAGCCTCCAGAGGAATGCTTGCTTTTTGAAGTATGGCTTTTTTTCCCTCGAGGTACATGTAGTTTAGGTGATATCAAAATACACCTAGGTTAGCATTATACTTTGGGGACTGTTCTAACCCAATTGATGGCCTGCCGTTCCATCAGAAAAGCGGCTTTGCTCCATCCCTCGCTCCCTGCCATCCTCTTCTCACCACCTGCCAAGAAGAAAAGGAGCCAGGTAACCAGGGGCTGAAACGTCCGAAACCATGGCCCAAAACGAACCTCCTCCTAGCACGCGGCAGGCGTTTGGTCACACACAGCAAGGAGAGGCTGACTAACACACGTTCCTTTCCCTCGCTTAAACATGGAAGGTATCCATCTGGCCGGGACTTCTCTATCTACCCACCCTGCCCACCAGCAGGTGGAAGTTCATCTTCAAAGACGTGGCCCTCAGAAGCTCTCTCCCCTGTGCTCCACCGGCTTTGCAGAGAAAAATGTCTACTCTCTGAGCTGCCGTTTTGTCTCAGAAGAACAGCACTGGCTTCACGGGATCGGAAGACTCCGTGAGAAGGCCTAAGGCGCCCTAGCTCCGAGGAGCAGCGTCCTGTTACGGTGGGAGCCTCTAGGACAGTCTGTTCCACAGGCATGGAAGGCTTCACTGGAATTGCCTCTTAGCAGCTGTAAGACCTTGGGAGGGTTGGCCATCGCACGGAAAACCAGGGCACAGGGTGAGGCGCGCCGCGGGCGCTGTCCCTTTAAACACCGCCCCCCCGGGGGGGGCGCCCACGGGAAGTGACGCACGCTGCCACGAGGTCAGCGTCCTCCGCCGAGCGCGGCCCTCGCTACAAAGGACTCGCCCCTCTGGCCGCCGACTCTCTCGAATCTGTCTCATCTCTCTTGACTCGGCTGCCCTGGTCCTTAATCGCTGCGCCCCAGCTCCCTCGCGCTGGAGCCTAGACCTGGCCCGGGCTCGCGTAGTGCGGCCTGCGCGTCGCCCGGACTCGACCTCCCCCCCGGGGTGACGCACTTCCGGCGCGACGGAGCCGCGGAGACGGCAGGCCCTCCCGACCCGCAGCGGTGCCGGCGCAGGAAGAATGGCGAGCTCCTTCCCCCGGCGCCGCGGCGGGGCGGAAGAAAGCCGACCTGCTGGCTTCCCGACCTTTTGAGCCAAGAGACCTCTTCCACAAGCTTCCTCAGGGCCAGGTTCTCGAGCGACACTCTGAAGGTGGCGTTTTTAATCAGCAGGTGGGCGCCGAGGAAGCAGGCCTGTGGCGGCCAACGGTAGGAAACCTCCGGCCGCGACCGGCGGGTCCTGGCGGCCGCTGCGCGCCCCTCGAGTCCGGCCTGCCTGGCCTCGTTTCGCACAGAGCTCTCCAGCCCCAAGTTACCGTCCCCGAGCCTCGCTTGAGCCGAGCTTGGCCGTCTGCTCACGCCAGTGCCTGTGCATTGCTGAGAACCCAGCTCCAGCCTGGGGACCTGGACCAAGGTGAATAGATTCCCCAGACTCACGGCCTCTCTGATACTGCTTCTGGCAGCTCTGAAAACCAGACCCAACCTAAGAATGTTCTGATTGTGTCTCACACCGTCTTGGAGTAACTCAGGCCTGGAGGCAGTTTCTAGGGATAGTGTGCCTGGCAGCCAAGTTTTAACATTTTTTCTTCCTGGAAGTACTTAGTTGTACACGCGTTATTACATGACCGTTACGCAGATTGTACAGGCACTGCTTGTTGCTTGCAGAGAGTATTTTTAATCTTTTTCTGTATCCTACAGTAGCATAGGCTTGCTACCATAGAAAGTGTTGCAGTAGAAACAAAGATGATTAAGACAGGACAGATGTCTGCAAAACACCATTATGTTCTAGAGGAGGGAAAAAGCTCAAGTGCATATTCTGATGTCTAGTTAAATAATGCTTTTGTGTGCAAAGAATGCACTTTTGGGCCGGGGATTTAGCTCAGTTGGCGCTGCTCCTGCCTTGCAAGCACAAGGTCGAGAGTTCTATCCCCGGTATCAAAAAAAAAAAGTACATTTTGTTCTTATTATATGGCTGTTTTTACTTTTAACCCCACACTTTAAAAAGTAATTCGCAGCTTAGAAAACTATGCAGAAAACCCAGCTTGAGCAGTGCTGGTATTTGCTGCGAAGATGATGTATTTAAAATTGCGTGTAATTCTTGGCAAAAAAAATAACACTAGTGAAGATGATGTAGTCTGAACAGTGTGCCCTTTGCTTTATTTCCTTATACTAAATAGAAGAAGATTAGCTTCCTGTCTTTAGGTAAATCACTACATTTTAGAACTGCAGTTTCCTCTTCACTAGAGATATTATTTGATCATTAAAGTTTGGTTCAAAATTTTGCGCATCTCTTTTATGGGGCAAGAAGATAATAAAAGATTTATGCCCTCTCCTTTTTTTTTTTCCGTACTGGGGATTGAACTTGGGACCTTGCACTTGCCGGGCCGGCGGAGGAACCACTGAGCTAAATCCCTGGCCCTATGCCCTCTTCTTAAGCACAGGCTTGTTGAAAAGCTCTAGGGAGAAAAATCTGTGTAACTGCTTCTCCTAAAACAGTTCATGGGTTTGTCACTTGATGATCAGTATAGTCTCACTGAAATGCCTTCTTAAATTCCTAGTTAGGAATCTTCATGTTAAGTTAAACTGCTCATTACCTCCTTTATGGATAGTTTATATACCTAAGGATTATAGAGGGAAGGCTGTGTTTTTCCAAGATCTGATTAAAGGTATTATAGTAGTTATTTTATAGCTAGTTAGCATTACAAAATTCCCGAGGAGTCTAGACCCATAACATGACCTTGCATGTACCACATCTTTACAGCATATATTGTAACTAAATATACTGAATCTTGGTTCTATTCAGTGATTATTTCAAACCGATGTTTTTCCCCCACAGTAAAAAAAAAAAAAAAAAACCTATAGGATACCAGCACACACATGCCCCAGATAAAACATAGCCTGTAAGCTTCGCAAGAGCACATATTTAATAGAATGCAAAGACTTTCTGTTGAAAGATCAGCATCAACATTTAATCAAGTACAGCTTGGAAAAAATAACAAAATAACACTTGATTTTCTATACCTCTTTTTTTCTTTGCTTTGTAAAGGATTTCTTGAACTAGTGAAAAAAAAAGTACACAAAGCTTGCTTACAGACGGAATTACGGGGATAGAAGGAACAAGAGAAAGTCACTAGTCAGTGGCCTCTACATCAGATTATTATAACTGAAAATAGGTCATCACAGTTTCTAAGCAGTTGCTCATTTTTTAAGTCCTCTGTGGAACCATCTCCATGCCGATGCCTTTAAGGCCAAGGTGTCTGCTAGCACCTTGCCTCATTTACTAATTTCTCTTGTTCAGCCTGAAGCGCTTGGTATCTGATCTTTTCAGCTCTTAATGTGTAATCCTTAATATATCTTTAGTTATTGTCATTGTGATAGCCTTTAGTGACTCTGCTTCTCAAACCCCCTGAAGAAGTCAGATATTTTTCATGGGGCTATATCTGTAGTAAGTTGATTTTTTTTTTAAGAACTTGTTGGATTTCAGCTTCAGCAAGCTCCTACTTCCAAACCTATTCTCACTAGGAATACAACTCCTAAAAATTCATAATTATTCCCGTCTCTATAGACATTTTCCACATACAGCTCCCTCTGATGGCTTTTAAAACTGTAGTAGTTCATTTAGTAACCATTCAGTAATGGTTATACCTTCCCCAGATGCTCTGCACATAGCCTGCTATCAACAGTCCTCTCTAGTGATTCACAAACTTTCAGCAGCGTTAGCATCTCCTGAGGACTTAAAAACTCAGATTGATACCAGACAATGTTTTGACCCGGACATGGTAAAAATGAGATGGGCTAAATATTGCAAGTGTACATGGTCCTGCACAGGCAAAGCTTTATTGCTGGGGAGGGTCTAAAGCCAAACTGTGGCTTTGCTTATGGGAGTAAACAGTCCAGAGAGTGAACAAGCTGCTGTTTTCAGAACAGAGGGCAACAGGTTTTTACTCTTTTTCTGGGATGAGCTAAATTCCAGTAATTTTCATTGGTTAGAAGTAGGTTCCAAAAGATATTTTTGTGTGGACTTAGACGACTGGCTAGTAAAGTTCAACTCATCTCAGAAGCTCTTGAGTTTTCCTGTATCTGGAAAATCATCCTGTGCAAAGTATCCCACCCTTATTCTTGGCATGCCGACAAGTGGTCTCCTGGGCTGCTCAGGAACTGCTAACTGATACTCTCCCAGCTTGAGTCATCATCTTGCATAAATGACCTCTTGTTATAATAGGACTTTAGTGTTTGAGCTGCTGAAAAAGCACAAGGCTGGGCATGAGAAACACCAACTCCAGTGGGCAGTAGGTCAAGCTAGCCCTGTATCATCTTGGATAAAACACTTCTTTAATGTTCAGCATGTCTACATGCGGAGCTGATTAGAATCAGACTCATGGATTAAGACAGCAAAGCAGAAAGACACAAAATGAGGACAGATGCCAAGCCTTTTATCCCATTTTATTCACCCATTGAACATCTGCAGGCCCAAGTGAAGAGTCAGTATTTTCAGCAGAAGTGGACTTCAGGTCCCTGGGAAGTAACGCAGGCAACTGTTGTTAAAACCCACACATCAGGGTGTTATCTGGAGCAAAGCTACTGAGAAACTAATAATTATTACCCTACCATTTTACCCCAAATTAGGAATTTTAAGTTGACTAAGAGCAAGTGAAGCTTATTTACACTGGGTTTTTTGGGGGGAGGAGCAGGGCGATGGATAACAATTTCTCATTTCATGCAAACATTTTGCTTTTGTGGTTTTGTCAGCATCTCATAATTGGTCTGTTGAAACATGCCATGCCTCAAAGGGTAGTAGTTTACAGCACACAGGATTGTGTTTTGCCGTCCCAGCCTCTGCCCCATCAGTTAGGTGGTTCCTAACTGTTTCAGAATTTCTGGACTCAGTTTTCAGGCTGAGTAAAGCTGGGCTAGAATCTCATAATTTGCATAAAATTCCTAAATGATGCTGATACTGTGTAAGGATAAACAAAATTATAAATAAGGAAACTTTCATTCTCCCAGGTGCAAAGAAAAGAGAAAAATACCCCCGCATATTTTCGTTGAACATTTACTTTAGAAAATACTTGCCTTTATGTGCCTCTTTGAAATGCATATAAATCTTTCTAAAAAGCTAAGCTAGCCTCTCACTAGTTTTACAACCCTTGAACATTTTCCCAAGGAAGACAACACCCATATCTTCCAGTTTCCTGGAAAGATAAAAACCTAACATCAGCAGACACCTGGTTCCAAATTGCAAACCTACCTCCTGTCATAAAGATAGGATAAATTTATTTTTCCTTTAAACAGTTAACACAGATGATCACCAAAATTACCAGGTGAATTTAGTATGAACTCTGACAAATGGTGCTGTCCAATCCTCTTACTGGAGAACTATTTACATCATACATGTATGTAATGAGTTGCATCTGCTTAGCTGTATCAAAGTAGAGTTCGTCTTGTAATTGCAATAGTGTTTTGCCTATAATGTGCAAAACATTCCGATTTAATGCTTATTCAGTCAAAGCAAAATAAAAAACATTTCTTTCTCTTCTTTGTATAAAGGTTTTCTGGATTGCATAGAGATTTTGTTTTTAACTGTATTTCTCCAACATTAGCTGAGGACACACTTTGACACACACTTTATAGTGTGAACCTAAATGGAGAACTTGAAATTTCTCTCTAGAATTTATCTTACTACTTTCAGCCTGTCCTTTGGAACATTAGCTTTTTTGCATTTTGATTCTGTTATCCTTCCCACTTTTTATCATCTGTAAAGTTGATAAACCTATTTTCCTAATCATTGTGGGAAGATCTGAAGGTGGCTGTAAGATGCAGTGCTTACATTGTTAGTCATTGGATAGCTGTATAGCATGTACTGTCTTACATACTAGGGATTCAGCTGTGAATGAAACAATCCTGACTCTAGTAGCTTACAGTGGGGAAGACAAAGAAACTGGCCACTGATGTGTTAAGCTGCATCATGCTGCAGTAGGAGGGAAGACCTTGCTGGTAACACAAAGGGGTGCACCTCACCAAGGTCTTGGGATCAGGAGCAGCTTCTTTTAAGAGTTGGCACACCTGCTGCCCAAAGGAAAGGTAGCATTGTGGTAGGGGGAGAAGGAGTATTAGTCCAGGCAAAGCAATAGTATTTGCAAAAACCAGACATACTAGAATATACAATGTGCACTTAGCAGGAAAATGAAATATCAATAAAATATCAAGTATGTACTGAGTATTTAGAATAAACAGCATTTTCTACATCAACTGTTTACTTACAAAATCTAAAAAATAATAGAAAAAAATTCCTATGTGAACTACAATGAAAATACAAAACCTCCCACAAAAAAAATCATTACTTTAATTATCATACCTAAGGCAGTTTTCACACATGAAAACAGCATGTTCCATATACAAGTACTGCTTACTCTTGAT